GTGTATGTGTTATCCATAGTAAGTATAGTAATATTCCCCCATAGTAAGCATAGTAATTAATCCCCCATATAGTAATTCATCCCCCATATAGTAATTCATCCCCCATAGTAATTCATCCCCCATAGTAATTCATCCCCCATATAGTAATTCATCCCCCATATAGTAATTCATCCCCCACATAGTAATTCATCCCCCACATAGTAATTCATCCCCCATAGTAATTCATCCCCCATATAGTAATTCAACCCCCATAGTAATTCATCCCCCATAGTAATTCATCCCCCATATAGTAATTCATCCCCCCTATAGTAAGTCCCCCCTGTGTCAATTTACTTACCTTTGCTCCGCGCGTTCCTCTCGCCGTGTGCCCGCGCCGTTCCGGTCTTCAGGGCGGACTGTGAGAGGAGCCTAGCTCCCCTCACGTTCGTCACGCTGCCCCGCCTACACACATCCTGACAGCCTCACATCACGCTCTGCGGGCCGGATTAAAAGGTCCGCCGGGCCGTATATGGCCCGCGGGCCGTAGTTTGCCCATTGCTGCCTTAGACTATAAGCTACCTATCTCCCCTTACGGTGTAAGCCATCTACCTTCTCTTACACGGTAAGCCACTTTCCTCCTTTTACACTGTAACCCACTTACCTCCTCTTACACTGTAAGCCACTAACCTCCTCTTACACATGTGGAATAGAATCCCTCAAGAGTTGGTTCTGGCCAGCTCAGTGGATTACTTTAAAAAAGGCCTGGATTCTTTCCTAGATACACAGAATATAACTGGTTACTAACATTTATAGGTAAAGTTGATCCAGGGAATATTCGATTGCCTCTCGGGGGATCAGGAATTAATTTTTTTACTCTAAAGGAGCAAATTGGATCATGCTTTGCTGTTTTTTCTGCCTTCCTCTGGATCAACTGTGGGTATAGGATTATAACTTTTTTTATGGTTGAACTGGATGGACTTTTGTCTTTTTTCGGCCAGACTAACTATGTAACTTTCAAGGAAATCAGCAATATGTTTATATTTTGAATTTGTTTTTTAATTCGATTTGAATTTGATTTGAATTTTGAACTAAATTTCTTTGTGTTGTTGTGGATTTGTTTAAATGTGTTACTATTTAAAATCAGAAATTCGGAAACTCAGATCTCTCTGAATAACAAAATTTTCGTCTAAATTTGGATTTGGAATGAAAGGAAGCACACATTTCTACAGCCCAGTATCAATCTGTAAGGACCTCATGGAGGCTGTCCTCTCTCCTGCCTAATGATAGACATTCTGTGTGAGCTGCTGGAAAAATTAAAACTGTCCATTAACAAAGCTTTTACTTTTCATTCATGTAATCCCGATGGCACCTTTGTTATATGACAATCTATTTGCAGCACTGAGCTCAGATAAAATGATGACCTTACTGTCTGACACTTCAGTGCTGACAGAGAGAGAATACAAGAAAATCACACAAAAACAAAGCATTCCTTAGGGTAAGGCTAAACTATTATAACAGTTTACAAATTGTCGACCTGTGCAGTCATTGTGTTTTATTATAGAGTGTGGAGGAGGCTGGACACACATATTACCATTCTCTGACAGAGATCTGCCTTTATACGGACAATGTAAGCCGACAGTTTGAGGTTCCTGGTCAGAAGAAAGCTGGCCAGCCATGTTCATATACAAGTGGTGGTGAGGAATGTAAAATGTCAATGACATCTCAATAAAACATTTGTTTTATGTTTATGGATGTTGTAAATGGAAAGAACTGAAAACAGCATAGTAGGAGGGAATAGAAGTAGCTGTAAAACTTCTGCTTGTACTCTGTAAGAAGTGTCATAAGTACAAAGATCAGGTTATTCTATAAGAGCTGCAGATAAAAACAATAAAATTGTCATCATCTGATAACTCCGGTGACTTCAAACTCCCACATGGCCAGGAACATCCAAAAAATGTTCATCTCCAAGTATTGGCCTTCATGCAATTATCATTTATTTCAAATCATCAGAGACATCATATATCATACAATCTGCAGATCCCACATAACATCTCCTCCATAACAGTTTCTCTTGTCTCTCAGGTATGATCATCTGGAGGAAACAAATGATCCCGGATTATGTCTGAGCCTCTTGGAGGATAAGTTGCTACTTCATGAAAAGTCACTTCGTTATTATGAAACGTTCCTGGATTGCCCATCTACATTCGCTCCTGTGGAGATGACATTGTAAATGACACATCCCAGGTAAAGATGGCCATATTAATCCTTGGGCAGTGAAATTCCAGACTCATGGTATGGGGACTTTTAGTGGCTTAGAAACAAAGAAACTACCTCTAGGTTAATGTACTGCCACCCCCATCATCTCCTCCACAGAAAAGAATAACATAAGTGATACATGTTGGGGAGTGGAACATTCATATTTCTGTGTGGCCAGCTGGTTTCTGATGTTTGAGGTCATCGGAAAATTGCACTGAATAATGGAAATATGTGTACGCCCTACAGGATTTTGTTCACATGACCATATATTTGTGTATATGGCCATCTTCAATTTTCAACACCAACCAGATCAGACAGGTTTGACTGAAAAGTAAATGGGAGAAACAAATACAATTCACAACATCTACTGACTGAATTTATAGATTTATCTGTGAAATAATTTTTTTATGTCAGATCATTCTTTAACCCTGTTACCAAGCTCACTTTACAGCCTAGCTAGAAATAGTGGAAGTGCAAGCTATCAGTGGTCTCCAATTAGTGTCTGAAAATACAGGAGTACAGGAACTGAGCACTGCCAGACCCCCTACACACACACACACACACACACTTTCACCTCCATCATCATGATTATCACCATCTCCGACACCTTCTCCATGATACCACCACCACCACTATCTCTGCTATTTCTACCAGCATGATCACTGTCTTCACCACCACCATCCCCACCACTTCCACCATCAGAATTACCACCATCTCTGCTATTTCCACCACCATCCCCGTCACTTATACCTCCATCATCATGATTACCACCATCTCTGTTAATTCCACCACCATCTGCACCACAAGAATCTCCACTATTTCCACCAGCATCATCATCTTCACCTCCACCATCTCCAAATAATCTCTGCTACCATCATCACCATCTCAAGTGCACCATTTATGCCACCACTACCACCATCTGCTGATCTCCACTATTTCCTTGGCACTGTCTTCACCACTTCCACAACCACTATCTTCCCCACATTTACACCACTTTAGCCACCATTTTCAGCAGCCTCAGCACAATCTCCACCAACAGCACCACCAGCTCATCACCATCACTTCTACCACCACAGCTATATGTTTACCCCCTACAGGCTCTTGAAACACTTTTGTGGAGTCAATCACAGTGAACACAGATGTTTTCAGTGCAGAATTATTGCATATAATTCTAGATTTTTCTTGTGCAAGCTAGATCATTTAACTTAAAGTGTTACTAAACCCATTACCCTGCATTCACTATATCCAGTCTTCCACAGTACAGAACGGAAATTATTTTAGTAAATATAAAGTGCTAAATACCTTTTCTCATCAGCAGCGTAGAGCAGTCTTATGACTTCTATCAGTGTCTGGCCGAGCACTGGTTAATCTTGTAGGAGTTTTTTTTTCTCCTCTGACTGTCCTATGAGGCTGTATGACCCTTGACCCTCTGTCTGGACAGTGCTGATTCACCCTGTGCCAATCACAAAAAAAAAAAAAAAAAAACTCTCTAGCAATGCACACTAAACTGAGCATGTGCAGACTTGCTACTGCTGCTCTGTACTATGGCAGATAGATTGGGGACTGTGGAAGAAGGGCAGGATCAGAGAAGACAGGATCAAACAGCCTTTTTACACAATGCAGAGGATTAACTCCTTAGGTTCCACAGTGAGTATAACAAGCATGTTTTACTGCATATACAGACTGATTTTACTGTTGTGGGTTTAGTAACACTTTTAAAGAAACTTGTGAGGGCAGAAAGATATAAATTGCCATTTTACTTTATCTTTCAAAGTTACAAGCTCCAAGCCTGTCATCATCAGTACCTAGTGAGATAAAATGGATAAAAAGAAGCGCCAAAGACAACTAGCAGCTGATATACCAAAGGCAACCTTCAAATACCTCGTAAGACACAAATAAACATGGGGGTGCAGCGCTAAGTAAATATAATAAAACAACAGAAAAATATATAGAAAAATATATAATGGCTATGCATAAATAAATAAAGTGCCCATATAAAGTGCAAAACAGCATATATGAAAGTGCTGTGCATGTGATAAGGGAGATGTATATCACACACAGCTCTCCTCTTAGGAGAGCACGTAACAGTTCAAGAGATACACATGACTGATGTGATCAAAATAGTCTCTAGATGGTGATACGTGTGTTCCTGGACATTCACTCAGGTGATGTGTCAAAAGGATTGTTAGAATTGCACACTCACCAGATGGCAAATCATAATACGCAATGTATATAATGATTAGCCGGAGGTCCCCCTTAAAGGTGGTAAGCAGCATGGTCTGGTCCAAGAGATCTCCTTCCTCCCTGGTACTCTGCCACACAGCTACCGTCCTCCAGGAATGGGCTCTAGGGTGGTATTTAGCTCATATAGAGCCAAAAAGAAGAATGCCCATAGTGTAGTATTTTCCAATCAAACATGTTTTATTGTGGGTGAAATATAACAGCAAGAATCAGCACAGAAGTTAACACTGACCATATGCAAGATGGCCACTGGACCTCCTCGTGGTCTCGGCGGCGTGACGTCTCTACGTGTTTCGTGCACGAGCACGTATTCATGAGGGGTATGCACATAAAGCAGGAGACGTCAATGGATTCCTTTTATAGAAGAGATGGCGCATGCGCATAGACACAGCTGCTGAATTACCACGGCGGCGCATGCGCACATGGTGTCCACCATTTTATTCGGAGCTCAGCACACTCACGCGCCCACTCCTAAGAAGAGAGCTGTGTGTGATATACATCTTCCTTATCACATGCACAGCACTTTCATATATGCTATTTTGCACTTTATATGGGCACTTTATTTATTTATGCATAGCCATTATATATTTTTCTGTCGTTTTATTATATTTACTTAGCGCTGCACCCCCATGTTTAGTAGTACCTAGTGAGAAACTACTTGAAATGAGCATGCAACCAGTGAAGTCTCCCATCCAGGGGCGGACTGACCATTTGGAAACTCGGGCACTGCCCAAGGGCCCGGGGTCAGTAGGGGGCCCCATGAGATGCCCCTGGAACCTTTTTCATAGGCTTTTTTGAGTTTGGGCAAGGACACAGGGGCCCCATGATCCCCTATTGCCCGGGGGCCCCATGAGTTGTCAGTCCGCCCCTGCTCCCATCATATATAGTTGTTCCAGACCAGTGGAATCAAGAGTACCAAATCAATGGCAGCTCTATATTATAATTCTGTTCTCAAAGAAATATACCGTATTTCAGTGACAATCAGAAAACATTTTTCAAAAGTGATATAGTAAATTGACAAACATTGAACTCGTATAATAATGTATTGTAAATGTCTACATCTTTGCTGATAATAATGTAAAATGATATAACTAATGCAGCTGTTCAGTCCTATAGATTGGGTACAGGTGATAGCCTTGATTATTGATGTGATACGTTTGGCCTTGATAGGGTAGGGACAGTAATCCATAGTTGGGTCTGGTCTGGGGGTGTTTGGCTTGCCCAGGGCTCTGGAGACATTACAAGAATTGGGGGGGGACTAAGAGTCCTGGAAGAGTTTTTTTCTCTCTCGGAGCATCTGAGGAAATTTGATAATTCTGGATCTGATTGTGGATCAGGCACAAGAAGATGATTTAGGCTATTTGGATGCTTCCTTCCCAGTTGTTGTTTGTTCTCATGCTGAAGATTTGTAGAAACCTCTCTTAGATCCAGGCCATCAGGCTTTTTTCCAAGACCAGATTTGAATCCTTATTTTCCTGTGTGAGGAGTATTTGTTCTTTGTTGGTCTGTGTGGCTGCATCCGCAAAAAGAGGCTTTATATTGGGTTTTGAACGATTCGAAGGTTGTTTATACCCAGAGGAATTCTCTTTTCTTTGCATACAATGATGGTGGCAAGCACCAGTAGTACTGGGTTCATCAATCCTATTGCTTGAATCTTCTATCTGTGGGGGGTTCCTGGATAAAACAGTGTAAGATGCAAATCGATATTTGCACCAAGACTGGGACATGGATGGTGGCATCATTTTTCCACAGCATTGTACAAACTCTTTGGCCTGTGAGTTGGAGCTGTTGAGTGTATGACCATTAAGGTTTACTTTTAATGGCCTGCTGTAAGTGTGAATAACAGGGACGTTTTGTACTGGAAAGTATTTTAGTTTCCAGCCAGAAGTTTGTGCTGAAGTCCCATGATTGCTGCGGGTATATTGTACTGTAAGATGTCCATTACTACCACCATCTGCCAAGGCAGTGTTGCTCAGTTTAGTGATGGAGATTCCAGTTACATAAAGGTTCTTGTCTCCACATGGCAGGCCTGGAATCTGTGCTGGTTTCCGGACAGTTATAGGACGATGTACAGTCTGCTTGCATGAAGAATTCTTATGGGAAATGTGTCTTCTAGTTCGCTGTGGAGGGGGAGTCCTTCGCAACTCCATTCCTGCAAAGAAGACACAAGAACTTATTATACAAGGAATGCCATGTAGATAAGGTACATATGTGTACATGGAAGAGCTTGGATCTATATATAGGCATAAGGTCCATGTGTTTACACTGAGGTGCTGGGATCTATGCGAATGGAAAAGGTAGAAAGTACATATAGTGCCTTGAAAAAGTATTCATACCTCTTGAAATTTTCACATTTTGTCATGTTGCAACCAAAAATGTAAATGTATTCTATTGGGATTTAATGTGATAGACCAAAACAAAGTGGCACATAATTGTGAAGTGGAAGGAAAATGATAAATGGTTTTCAAAATTTTTACACATAAATATTTGAAAAGTGTGGCGTGCATTTGTATTCAGCCTCCCTGAGTCAATACTTTGTAGAACAAACTTTCACTGCAAATACAGCTGCATGTCTTTTTGGGTATGTCTTTACCAGCTTTTTCAAGGCACTGTATATGTATACTGTATGGAGACATCACATGTGTGTATATGAAGTAGGTAGCACTATGTGTATGCTGGAGGTACATGCATGTTTTTGGAGAAGACACATGTGTGGATAGAGAGAAACTAGAGTTATGTATATAGAGAAAGTACATGTGTGTACATGGAGACAGTACGTTTGTGTGTATGAAGTAGGTAGTTTATACATTTACGTGTATAAAAAAGGTATATGTATGCATATGAAGATAGTAGAGTTAAGTTAATGAAGAAAATATATGTACAGTATGTATATAGAGAGTGTACATGTGTGTTTAAAGAGGTGTGTTTGTGTTTATGGAAAAGGTATAGTTATGTATATGTAGAAGATTCATGTATGTATATGGAAAATGTGTATGTATTTACAGTACATGCCGAGGCCAGGATGTATGTATATGTAGGAGATACATGTACAGTATGTATATGCAGAAGGAACCTGCATGCGCAAGTAGAATGCACATGTATGCATACTGTATGTAGGAGTTACTGTACATGTACAGTATGTATATACAGAGGACATGATCTATGTATATGTAGAAGGTACATGTAGAACATACAAGGCTTTTTTCTCAGAAAATAGGTGCAGGAACGGTCTATCTCTTAGTCTCCACCCCCTTGTCTCCACCCCCTACCCTGCTCTGAGCACCGTACCTTTGTTCCACCCCCTACCCACCTCCCAGTACTGCCCCAGTACTGCCCCTTTTAGAGAATACAGAACCAGTGGCGTCCCGAGGCAAGTTCGGGGGTTGCAGTCCACACCGGGTGACACCGACGGCATAAGGTGACACCGGACCCGTTCCACAAGAAGGTAAGTTGTAAAGCAAGCTGACGATATATCCTGCGAGGATCGTCGGCATGCAACCTATATGGGATGACACCGGACCCGCTCCAAGAAAAGGTAAGTTGTAAAGAAAGCCGACGATCCCCGCAGGATGGATCGGATCTGCGGATTGAGCATAATGGATCAGAGTCCGATCCATTATGCTCAATCCGCAGATCCGATCCATTCTGCGGGGCTCGTCGGAGGGGGTGTCACCAAGTGTTACCGCACCGGGTGTCACCAACCCTAGGGACGCCTCTGTACAGAACCAAGTATTGTTTTGTGATGCTAAATCATTTGTATGGAAGTTGTTATTGATAAAAACACAGGTCTCTCTCCTGTCAGCATGGACATGCTGCTTTGTATTTCTCTGCAAAGCAGAGAGATGCAAAACAGCATGTCTCCGTAGTAAAACACAGCACACAGTTAACCCTTTGATCGCCCCAGATATTAACTCCTTCCTGTCCACTGTCATTAGTACAGTGTCAGTGCTTTTTATTAGCACTGGTCACTGTATTAGTTTCACTGGGTATGTCAGTGGCAGTTAGTCAGTTCCCCCCATTGTCAGAATTCCCGCCACAGTCCTGCAATAAGTCGCTGATCGCCGCCATTACTATATATAAAAAGAAATTCCAGTATATATACCGCCATTTGTAGACACTATAACATTCACGTAAACCAATTAATTTACACGTATTGGGATTTTTTTTTTTTAGCAAAGGCATGCAGCAGAATACATTTTGGCCTAAATTTATGATGAAATTTAGATTTTTAAAAATGTTTTATTGGATATGTTTTATAGCAAAAAGTCAAAAATATTGTTTTTTTCAAAAATATTTTTTGTTTATAGCGCAAAAAATAAAAAACCAAGAGGTGATCAAATACCACTGAAAGAAACCTCTATTTATGGGAAAAAAAGGACACACATTTAATTTATGTACAGCATTGCATGACCGTGCAATTGTCAGTTAAAGCAACACAGCGCTGTATCGCAAAAAAATGGCCTAGTCAGGAAGGGAGGTAAATCCTCTGGAGGGAAAGTGGTTAATGAATTAATTCTTATTCATCATACACTTACTCTCTATTTAGTATCTACTATCATCATTTTGGCACTAAAATTCGCTGAATTACAACAAAAGAACCTGTGATGGTATTTATAATGTCCATAGTGGTGGAGCATCACTGTTGGATAAAGACAGGGAATCAGCCATTTATGATTTAATCAGGAAAAAATATAAAAGCTTGTCTCCCTTTTTTTTTCAGGGAAAAAAGCCATGTGACAATTGACAACATGCTTTCTCTAGACAGTGCCAAAATGCAGGATATTATCCTCTGTTTAGAAGAGATATTATATAAACGAGTATTGCACCAAACAGATAATACAAAAAGGAGAATGGATGAACATAATGGGGGAGATTTACAAAAACTGGAGCATGCAAAATCTGGTGCAGCTGTGCACAGAAACCAATCAGCTTCCAAGTTTTATTGTCAAAGCCTAATTAAACAAGCTGATTGGCTGCCATGCACCAGATTCCAGTATTAGTAAATCCCCCCAATGTCAAATATACATACCAAGTGTCCTAGATTTGCCAGGACAGACTCATATCTTGGCCCTATGGTGTGTCCTAAGCCATGTCCTGTGATCACATCATCAACCTTATTTGCGTTACTGCACATGTGTATATATAAATAACGTTTTAGTTTATGTTGTTTGTTATGATCATATAAGGCTTTTCATTTGTTTTAATATACTCCCTTCTCTTTTTTTTTTTTTATTTAAACTTTATTAAACATTAAACTATCTCCTTTTAAAAACATTTGTTTTTTTTTCTCTGTGCATAGCAATTAAATAAACTGGCACCTGTCATTAACAGCTGTTTACAAACAAAGCCATGTGATCATTGTGCCATAAGTGCTAGGGTGATCACATGATCTGGTTCCTGATTGTTAGTTTACAGTGTGGTTGTCACAGCTAGAACACAGTGATGAGTGCGTCTAGTTGTCATATTAAGTGTGATTAGTAAAACAAAGTATGCTCTAAAAACACCTAGATATAAAACACAAAAAAATAAATTAAATACAAGTGACCCAAAACAAACGAAGCTCCCTTTTAATGTGGTAAAATAGACAAAGGATAGGAAAAATGTAAAAGCAAGGAGATAAAGAAAAAAGCCGGACAGACTTCATAAACAACTTAAACAAAAGTGCAAATTCCCAGAAACAAACTGGAGAAAATGCCATTTCCAGGCCCTTCAAGCATCCCTATAGTGTGTAACATTCATTTCTGCAATGCTAGGCCTGCTACAACAGCGCCACCTGATGGGAAGAGGCGTCATGTCTTTATCTTGTCCAACAGAGGAGTGCAGTGTTCATACACCAATTACTGTA